GACGAAGCCTCTTGGATGAGGGGCGAAACGTTTCTTTTTAACAAAAAAAACGAAGTCCAGATGACATGATTCAACCTTTTTTGTTCATTCACTTATGTTTTTCGAGAAGGGCCTTAACTCCATCCTTGATTTCATGATGTGGGGCTCTCCTTCTTTGGGTCCAGGCTGTCTCCCATACTGCGTTCTTCAGTATTGACTCTAGATCCATTTCCTTCTCTGGAATGTCCATGTTGACTCCGAGCTCACGTAATCCAATTGCAGCAGCTTGAGGGTCATTATACACCTTAACTTTCCCGTTCTCACAAAAAACTTTCAGTCTAGCTGGAAATAAAATCCGTGACTTGATTTTTCGTTCATTCCGTACTTTGCGCACATCTTTGTATTGTGCACGTTCCTTAAACACTGAGTTTGTAAAGTCCTCATCAAAATAAATCCTTCGATCATTTACTTGTACAGTGTTTGCTCTCCATGCAGCTTGCAGCACTTTTTGTTTCATGGCATATGACTGAAATCGAACCAGAACAGTTCTGGGCCGGTCCTTTGGTCCAGGCCTTGTCCCTATCTGATGCGTCCTCTCCACATGGGGTTCGTCCATCACTTCCAGTTTTTCATGGATCAGTTTGTTGATAAAGTTAATCATGTTGTTTTCTTCACAGTTTTCTGACACTGAGTAGATTCTCATATTGTTTCTCCTGGCTTGACTTTCCAGTTCCTCACATCTTAGTTCTTGTTGTTTTTGCATTTGAAGGGCATGTAAAAGCACTTTAGAGGTTTTTATTTCATAATCTTCACTCTCAGCAATTCTCTGTTCAGCTTCATCTATTCTTTTTTTAATACTTGTGAAATCTGTATGTAGCACATTTAACTCTGCCTTTAATGATCCAAAACTAACTATTGTTTCAGAACGAAATTCTCTCAGTTCTTTGAGTATTTCAGCCATACCTGTTGATTTAGCTGATGGAGTGTCCTCTGTTATCTCTTCTTGATTGTTCTCCATTTGTTTTTGTGCACATGCCTCCATTTGTTTGGAAGATTGCTTGAGTTTCTGCTTGGACATTTCTCAATGTACTTCTTTCTCCTCCTTCCTGTCCTCTTTGTCCTCCTTTCTCACTGTCCTTCTCCACTCAGTTTTCAGTATTTTGCCGTTTTTGAAGCTGTTTTATCCAAAGTTAAGTCCACTTTTCAGTGAACTGTTTGCAGAGACACTCCCAAACATACTTGCCCGGCGGCCATCTTAATAACTAGAGAAATTGCATTTCATGATCAGTTCACTGACATGACATCACACCCCATATAAGGAAGTGAATGGGTATTTTTCAAAGCTGCGACTGAAACAGCTTGAAATGGTCATGAAAACTACCGTATGTTTTTAAAACCAGTTTGTTACTTTTCAACATATGCCACAGAACATATGTATTTATTTGTTATGTTATATTTCACTGGATATGTTATCTGAAAAAATGGTGGGTGTTGGACATTAACATGAAAATTAAAAAGGAGCTTCTAATAAATAAATACATAAATAATATTAGGAGAATAACATGAACATTATTATAAAAAAATATATAACTTTAATGGGGTGAATCTAGTTTTCAGACATCAATAATGGCCCAACCCAGTGAGTGTACCTGTTGCTGGAGGCTGACAGGCAAGAGTCAGCTGTAGGTCCTGTGGTCCTGTTAGGGTACCAGTTGACCCGTCGACCTCCCCAATCTGGGAGGCAGAAACACACAACGCTAAAAACTTAATCTCTGGAACAAATATCAGCACTACACCTTTTCTTTTGCTCTGTATTCTGTTTGGGCCAATTACTCGATCTGACCACTGTGACAGTTTAGTTTAGTTCTGTTTGTGGGCTTTATAGATCTGTGAAGTTTTTCTTAATATTTGCCGAGACACACTGTGTGGTTGTTGTGAGGACTTTGTGAAGTCTTGGCCGTTGTTGTGAAGTAGATGAAACTGCTTAGTTTGGAACCAGTAAAGTGTTGCAAGCTGATTTCTTTATAATATCAGCAGTCAGGCTGTGGATTATGTTTCTGAATGCATTTATCTTTGGCTGTTTGGAGTCAGTCCAGTTCTTTGGTGCCTTTCGATATGGTTGCTTGTTCAAAATCTTTAAAAAGCTCTACTGTAGTTCATAACTTTTAAAGTGGGGTTCTGTAGAAGAGTTATGAACAGTTAGTACCAGAGTTTAATAACAACTAGATTGATGAGCTAACAGCTAGCTTGAGCCGGTCCAAAAACAAAGGGGATTGTTACCACCTTAAATCAACTCCCGACTTAAGTTCACAGTGGATAGTGGTATTTTATGAACATTTGCACTCCTGTCATTTTCAGGTTTTGTGGATACTTTAGCAGAAATTACTTTAGTTTAGCAGATTACTTCAGATTTAGCAGATACTTTAGCAAATTTAAATTACTTTAGCAGATAATTTTTAGAGATGTGAGTTGTTTTAAATTGGGGCAGCTGTAGCTCAGTGGTTAGAGCAGCCATCCTCCAATGAGAGAGTCGGAGGTTTGATTCCGCCAGTATGCATTCATATGTCAAAGTGTCCCTGAGCAAGACACTAAACCCCTGAACTCACTCTGTAAAATGATTTCTTCAGGTTGTCTTGTAGAGACGCAGTAGAGTGCTGTATGGATATGTGTGTTGATGGGTAAATGAGCGCACACATCGTGTTGTGAAGTCTTTTCATCATTTTAAGAGGGCAGCTATCCACTTTGAGAGAATCAGAATATCTTTATTGTCACTATACCAGGTGTAACAAAATTAAAATGCCCCACTTTGAGGTGCTACAGACAAAACAAAATTAATTAAACTCAATTTAAAAAAAAAGATAAAAGACATAATAAAAGAAAACACCCACCACACCTTATGTCAGTAAACACAGTTAGATTACAGTTAAAAAATACTGTTAGATTGCACAACAGCTCTGGAGCAAAAATTGCACATTGCCCTTGTATCAGTGAATAGTAAAATAGTAAAATAATAAAATAGTGAATAGTAAAATATTACACGGTCCCATGTTCTATTTAAAATGGGTATATAAACAGTGTTTATAAAAGGTTATTTGGTGCCCGAACTGCCGTCGGGTAAAAGCTATTTCTGAGCCGGTTGGTCCTTGTTTTAATAGATCTGTACCGTCTGCCTGATGGTAATAGTTCAAAGAGATGGTGGTCCTGGATGCTCCTAAACTAGCTGCTAACTCATTAATTTGGTAAGATTCATCTTCACATCTTCAAAACTGAAGTCCTTCAAAGAGCAGTCTATAACAGGTAAGATATTAATTGTTCAGCACCTTTCCACAAAACCCCTACTACTGTACGTGTATGTAATTGTTTACATTTGAGCTCAATGGTTCCCAAAGCGGTGGTGAAGACCCCACTGTGGGTCAAAAAATGTTATGTCTGGGGTCCTGAGATGATCTCCAGAAGAAAAAAAAATTATATTTGCACATTTTCACTTTAATAGATACAAAAAAAAGAAAAGCAACAGTCATAAATGGAAAAAAATAAATAAATAAACAGTACGACTTTAAGCTTTTGTTGTGATTATGGCCTTATTTATTCACTTTTTTGTGTTTGTGTGTATTCATGCCAATGATATGGGGTCACGTCTTTGCCACTGTTAATTTTGGGGTCAGAAGCTAAAAGTTTTGAGACCTGCTTTAACTGATGCTCACCCAACAATGATTGTAGAGCAAACATTTGTAGACAGCTGCTCTGATTTCACTTCCAAATGGGCTCACAGGTACATTAGTTCCATGTACTGTACATATAAACACAGCATTCTTATTTCAAATTGCCTACCTGAACTAAATTACATTTTTCCACCAAAGCTCAAATTTATCTTCCCTTAACCTTTGGCAGGGACTCATTTGAAATTGTGACCTCACTATAAACACAGAAACTCAAAAATAAAATCTTTGGAACTTAGCAGTCTGAAACTACACTTGGAGTACGACTCTACCTACCAGCCTGGCGTTTGTAGCCAAGATGCTGCCTTTCTTCAGTAACTCTGACAGGAGTGGAGATGGTGGGGGTGTAGCCTTTGGGCCCAGAGGCTTCTTCTGAGTTGGATCATCTGGACCTGCCCCGTGGCTGATGTCATCGTTACAAGCTCCGGGTGTTTCAAAAAATGACACCAACCTGGATGTCCCTGAAGCCTAGAAAAAAGAAAGGGAGCGTTGAAGGAATGCTTCAAATCTGTCATCAACTGGGTCGTGTCTCTTTATGTCTGAATTCATTATTTTAGGGAAATGCTTAGAAATATTAAACCAGTTTTCAAACAAATACAAAGACTATCATCTCAGCAGTGTAAGACGTTTAAGTGTTTAATGCAGTGCTTCTCAATTATTTTCTGTTATCCCCCCCCCCCCCCCCCGCCCAGGAAGATGTAAACATTCCCCCCACACACACACACAACTCTCCGCCGCGACTGTATCATTTGTATCATTTGTCTATAAAATTGTTATAAGTACACCTCTGCATAACATTGTGTCCTTATTAACATTAAAGGAAAAAAAAGAGTATAGGTCAACTTACAACAAAGAATAACTTTATTAACATTGTTTTTTAGTCTGTAACAGAAACAACTTAAAGTGCATCAATTTGTCTGGAAAAAAGCAAACTTAAATCCTTATTTAAACTGTAAACATATTTGACCATTTGATACTGAAAAATAAAGTTAAATACTGTATAATCAATAAATAATAATAAATTCAAATTGATCAGCAACATTTTTAACTCAGGAGTGTTATATAAAACACTTTGACCTAAAAAAACAATAGTGAATAAAACAATTTGTGCTGTGTTTTTTATATCAAAATGAGGAAGTCAGGATCAATGAGCACACTCATCAATAAAACGTTGGTTACGTACTGTAACCCCAGATTCTATGAGTATAAGCGTAGCCCTTTAAGGCTGTCGCTTGGTGGGTTTATCCCGTTATGCATAGCATTTGCACTGAAAAATTTAGTCCACGCCCACCTGCTGTGTGGGCCCTACCCAGTCCGTATAAATTACGTTAAGAGCGGGAAATCGGCTCCCAGAAATAGCTTTTTCTTCAGCCATTTAGGAGCCAGTGAGGCCCGACGCTTAAAGGGTTACGCTTATACTCATAGAATCTGAGGTTACAGTATGTAACCAACGTTCTATTTCGTATAAGCTTCGCCCTTAAAAATTTTTTTTTTAAATTTATTTATGCATATATAGATTATTTTTATTTTTTTTATTTATTTAGTTATTTTTTTAATTTTATTTTATTTTTCACAAACACCTCCTTTCTCCGTGTGACACTAGGGGTCTGGGATGGAGGGGGAGGGGGGCACATTGTTGGGGTCTGGGCTGTGGGTGGGCTTTGGGCCTTGGGGGCGGTCAGTGATTGGGCCGGTGCTTCGGTTCCTCCTGGGCTGTTCCGATTCTTTTAATCTAGGTTCCTGGTTGCGATGGCCGGCACTTTGACCGGGGTGGCTGCCGGCTTTCGGCGGGGGTCGGCTATGGTAGTGAACGTGTGGTCATTGGTGGTGTAGGGCGGCGGTTGGGGGCGTGGCTTCGCCTCATCGGGGCACTGGCTGGTCTTCCTGTGTGGCATTTGCGGTGGGGGTGCTGTGTGTGTGGGGGGGTGCATAGGTGGCGTGCTGGGGCGTCTCCGGGCCTATGGTGCGGGGCTCTTGATGTGGGGGCCGGCCCTCCTCAGCTGCGGCTCCCTGCTGCTCTGCCCTTTGGGCTGGGGCCGGTCTGTGGTCGCTGTCAGGTAGATGGTGCATGCTATCTGTGTGTGCCTGTTGGTTGCTCAGGTTGGGTTTTTGGTGGTACCCCTCTCTTGGATCAATTTGGGCCCCACATTTGGTGTGGGGCCCACTCCCCCCGGTCGTGCCCCCCTTTGGCGGGGGACCCCCTTGCCGCCGGTGCATTGGTGGCTCTCGGTGTCTGGGCTGGGTGGTGGGGTGCACGTCGGTCTGCCCTGGTTGCTGCCTGGCGGGGCCTGGGTGCCCTGGCTCTGTCGGGGCTCTGCCGGGGGGTGGTATGGCCTCGGGGCTTGGGGCTCGGTGTCCATGGCTGGATGAACTTGGGGGGGGGGGGG